TTATTTAAGTAGTGATGAGGAGTATGAACTATGAAGTATGGAATTAAAAAAGAAATCATTGGGCTGGACCGGATTTTGGGCTACTTGTTCCGATAACAAAAACATTTGGGCTGTGCGTAGATTGGCCCAATATAGACGGTTTGTTGGTAAAAGAGACGGGCCCAATATAGATAGTATGCGAAAAAAAAAATCCCATATATTCCATCATTTCCATGTAGAATATAGCTTGAACTGCACGCAACGCTGCCAGGGCAACATTCCCAAAACCTTTTTCTGTCTTTTTCGAATTCGCTCACAGATCGCTTCTTCTTTTCATGAAATTCTTTTCGTTCGCTCGGAAATCTCCTGTTTCGCTGCTGGTTATGGTGAATCCACACACACAGGGTGAGGTTTTCTCAATCAAAATCGCTCGCAAAATGCATCTTGATTTCCTTTATTTTCGTTTCATCGGACGATTTTTGATCTTCCGTTGATGAATTAACCCTAGTTTATTCTGTTGATCTACGAGTGTTCTTTCTCCGGTGATCTCCGAATCCTATCTCCGGTGATGTACGAGTGTTCTTTCTCTGGTGATCTACGAGTCCTTTCTCCGGTGATCTACGAATCCTTTCTCCGGTGATCTAAGAATCCTATCTGCGGTGATGTGCTTTTGTTTGATTTCTTCAATTTCTTAAAGTTCGTTTGTTACTTAGAAATCGCTTTGTTCGTATCTTTATACACTGTATCTACATGCACAGCTAGGTTTCTTGAATCAAAATTGTTCGCCAATTCATCTTAATTCCTTTAATTTTCTTTGTCTGTTTGTTAGGTTTTGTTAGATTCTTCGTGTATGGTCGAACCCTAATTTTCTGTTTAATTCTTGATTCTATATAAAATCTATATTCTATCTCTATTTTCTGGTGATGGACGAACCCTATCTCCGGTGTTATAGTGTTGTTTCTCGTCAGTTTTCCATTAGACTCAGTGATTGATGATATCTGACTTCCTTCTTGTTAGGTATATATTTCTACGAAGGAAAATCTAACTATTTAGGAAAAAGAAAAATTTTCCTAATTGTAAAATTGTCGTTTATCATCTTTGCAGATTTACGATATTGTTTGTTTATGTGCTTCTTTCAATGGCATGTTTAGATATTACTATTTTTGAGCTTATTGTCCCTTGTTTATGATGAGGTTATGGTATGGTATTTTTCAGTCAAGTATGTCCAATATAAGCGGTTTTTTTTTCTTACTACATAGAATTGTAGATGATACTGTCCTTTGAAAAAACTTGCAGGTTGTAGTAGGTTTAATATTTTCTAATAAATTGCCAGTGAATTCTTTCTTGCCAGTCAAAATAGATTTGTAATCCTATCTTTTGGATTAAATAGATGCCTAAGTCATGCAAATTACATCATGCCA